GATCTTTGATTACTAGATTGGAAGGTGTAAAATTCTCCCTCCTCTGCAGGACAGACACCCACTCTCCAACTCCAGGAAGCAGCATGGTTTCTTGGAGCTGTTAAAGCCTACGTGCCATGGTGATGAAGAACTTCCCGGACATGAAGGCCAGAAGGGACCATCATGCTAGTCAGATCTCCTGCACGTCGCAGGCCACAGAACCTCACCCACCCTCTCCTGTAATAGGCCCCTTACCACTGCCTGAGTGACTGGAGTCCTCACATGACTGTTTAAATAGAATGTCTTCCCCTCTTTCAGCAGTAGGCAGAATGGCTGAGGATGTCAGGCCATGGAGACCATAATTCCTCCTTCCCTTGTGAGAGGCAGCATGACTTAGGCAAGATAGCCTTTCCTTTCAGTCTGTATGTGGGAGGCAACATGGGGAGAAGTCCAAGGCCCTTTTTTCACTCCCCAGATGGTTTAAGAGAACAGATTTCTGCCTAGGTGGACTATAAGGGTACGTCTAGACTATGTGCCTCTGAGGACAGAGGCATGTAGATTAGACTACCTGGCATAGTAAATAATCGCCGCTTCATTTAAATTTACATGGCTGCCGCGTTGAACCAATCAGCTGTTTGTCGGCTCAGCGCGGTAGTCTGGATGCTCCGCGGTCGACATCAAAGGCATTTGTCCACCTCCCAGGTATGCCTCATCCCATCCTCATCCCAAACAGTCTGAGCCAACAAACAGCTGATCGGCTCAGCGCGGCAGCCGTGTAAATTTAAATGAAGCGGCGATTATTTAAATCGCCGCTTCATTTTCCTATGCCGGGTAGTCTAATCTACATGCCTCTGTCGCCAGAGGCATGTAGTCTAGACGTACCCTAAGGTAATAATACATAATTCAGATGAAATATACCTCTGGGGGGTAGCTGAAGTTTTGGAAGTCCATGTGAAACACATCTCCTGGGTTTATAAACAGTCATGAATTTCAATCACAAAGAACACCGCTATGGTGAGGTAGCAAACAATGATCTTGTAGAGTGTCAGTTGAAAGTGACATGAGACAGACTGTAGAGCTCTGAAGGATTCACTGCTGGTAAGTGTTGGATACTCACTCTGGTCTTTGCTTTTGCTCTTTTTCAGATGATAGAGAGAAATCCCCATTTAATCATGGATGGTGCTAGCAGATTTGATATTCTTCAAGGAGAAGAAATAGGTAAGATCAAAGCTCTGTTTCAGGGTTAGCCAGTCTGAGCTGTAGACCAGAGTAGTTTCCTCTGCTGCCGTCTGAGACCTTGGTTTGGTTTACTGCATACACATGCACACTCACAGAGAACCCACCCCAGATATTAAGTGTGATTTTTTTTTTACAGTGCCTCTGGGCCAAGGCACTTTGGTGTCTGAATGACTCCCATCATCACTTATGTTTGCATAACTATGGTTGCAGAAAGGTGGACTCAGAGCAGGCAGAAAGTGACAGTCCATGGGCCAAATTCAACCCTAGTGCAAAGATAGTGCAACTCCATTGTGTGCCCACAATTACCAGAATTGGATTTGGCCTTGTGACCCAGAAGTCATTGTCTGGCGACTCTTCATGTTTTCTTTTCCATGTGCAGCTCTGTTGTGTCACTACTGACCCATTTTTCTGATCCATGCACCATGTTCCTGTCTTTATCTTGCTGTAGATCCACCCCCCACCCCCCCAACCCATGACCATGTTTCCTTTTGAGAGTAGTCACAGGTTCCTCTTGAAGAAATAGCACTGTCATCCAATTGCTTATTCTACCTGAAGGGCTAGAGGTTGTCTACACCATTTCCTATTCTGTAGAACTAGGGTGCCAACAAAGGGAAGGAGCTTTGTGTGATGCCCAAATGCCTCCACATAGCACCTTTGAGTCCCAATTCCTTCATTGCAATCAGATAGCATAGACATGGATGTAGTATAGACATGGAAATGGATGGGTGGATAGATGGCAGCATGCTCCATGAAGCAGAGTGTCTCTGAGTCTTGGACAACCTGCCCATGTTTTTATTATATCCAAATTGGTTCTCCCAGTTCTTCTGCACTTACCCTGTTTTCTAAAGGAAAGTGTTAGAAAGATATAGACCCAGGCAAGGCAGAAGGAGGCCATGAGGTAAGACACGTAAATGCATGTGGTTTGTTACTTGTTTCCCTGAAGGCGATTGCTGGGTTCTGGCTGCCCTGGGATCTTTGACATTACAGAGGCAATTTCTGGAAAATGTTCTGCCAAAGGACCAAGGATTCCATCACAGTTATGCTGGGATTTTTCATTTCCGGGTAAGTAGTATGTGAAGTAGTGTGATCCTACCACTTGGGTTGGGGGGAGGATCCAAGCAGACTTGAAGTTCAGTGTGGGTCCCCTGCACAGGAGTTTGCAAGTGGTCCCTGATTTTCTCATGAGCTCAACCAACCCCCTTGATTGTGACATCCACAAATGTCAGGTTATTTGAACCTGGTTGTGTATATTATGAGGTGAGCCCATTTCTAGTGAGTGATGTTCTGTCCAAAATACAAACTTGCACTGATGAATGAGAAGTGCTGCCTCTGTTTCAAATCTGACCATTATAACTGATAGTAAATCTGGGTTCATTGTCTATTTGATCATTTCTTTCTGGCTGTGTCTACATTGGCATCCCTTTCCGGAAAAGGGATGCTAATGAGACACTTCGGAATTACAAATCCGGGGCGAATTTAAATATCCCCCACGGCATTTGCATTTACATGGCTGCCGCTTTTTTCCGGCTCAGGGTTTTTGCCGGAGAAAAGCACCAGTGTAGATGCGATTTCAAGTAGGAATAAGGGATCTTCTGGAAAAGGGCTTATTTTCCGGAAAATCGCGTCTACACTGGCGCTTTTCTCCGGCAAAAACCCCGAGCCGGAAAAAAGCGGCAGCTATGTAAATGCAAATGCCGCGGGGGATATTTAAATCCCCCGCGGATTTGCAATTTCGAAGTGTCTCATTAGCATCCCTTTTCCGGAAAGGGATGCCAATGTAGACACAGCCTCTGTGTTCTGCAGTTTCACCTACCAGATTCCATCACAAGCCCTTTGGCGCTGCTCAGATAACTGTTTTTCATATTTCAAGAATGGGTCTGATTCTAAGAGACAAATGTCTTGTGGAAGAAATTGAAATGTACTAATCTTGAAATATTCAGAATCCCCCACATCGATATGTTACCTTTTTACATGCACCACTTACTCAACTCTGAGAGATTAGATGGGGAGAAGAGGAAGTATCATATGATCTCTCCCCAGGGGATTTAGCGTAAGAAGGAGATTTTAGTCCCAGAAACTAAAGATGGAAATGAATCATTAGATCATTTTGTCCTTTCCCTCACTCCCAAAGCAAAATTCTTCTCAAGTGCATTCTGTTTTACTTTGTCCAGTCGAACAATGATGTTGCTAGCAATAGAACTAATGTACTTCCTTTAGAGAGACTACTCCCTAGAGTAACAGATCTTTATATTAGAATTCTCTTGCTATTCAGTCTAAATGTCCTTGTGTTCCATTGCTCCTAGTAATACTAGGTGTTTCAATCCTGGCTCATCTCCAGTAGGCAGAGGAACATAATACAGGATAGATGGTGCTTGGTCCTGCCATGAGGGCAGGGGACTGGATTCAATGACCTCTCAAGGACCCTTCCAGTTCTAGTATTCTAGGATTCTATAAAGCAGCTGACCATAGATTAAAATGTGACAAAATAGAATTTCTTTCATGAGACATCCTCAAAAAGATTATTGAGGTGCAAACCTTGAATCTCCAAGGATACAAATATATTCAATATTTGAAAAATATGTTTTCCCTGTCTTCTCACCTGCAAATCAGTACACGCCCTTCTCCTTCTCCTCCAATAACAGCCAAGATGCTTTCATTCAGTCTTTTGTATCATTTCAGCAATACCCTTAAATCATCCCACTGAAGATACTTTAGCACAGTCCACACTGCAGGTCTTAGAATTCAGTTCCAAGAGACATCACAAACAAGGCATCACTTCTTTAGTAGACATAAACACGTCTTATCTTCCTAGAGTGTCTTTCATCTTTCAGGATCTCTAAGCACTTTACAGGCCTAAGAGCTGCTGAAGTCCCCCTTCAAAATGCTGAACCTGCCTCAACTCCCAGTGCAGTCAATGGGTGTTAAGGGGGCTCAGCATCTCATAAGGATTGGAATGGGTCAAATTTTCTCTGTAGTGCAACTACATTGAAGTTAATAGAGTTACAGCCAGGATGAATATAATCCTGAGGCTATGTCTACATTGCCCCCTCTTGCGCAAAAAAAATATGCAAAGGAGGTGAAACATGGAATATTGCTGCATCTCATTTGCATAATTAAAGAGGCTCTGTTTTTGCACAAGAGGCTTTTGTGCAAGAGCTGTTCTTCCTGAAAAAAGAGGAAGAAAGACTCTTGCGCAAGAGAGGGGGTTTTGCACAAAAGCATCCTGCGCAAAAAAGGAGCCTAATTAATTATGCAAATATGTGATATTATGCTATATTCCACGCTTTTCCTCATTTGCATATTTTTTGCACAAGATGGGTCAGTGTAGACATAGCCTTAAAGTATTTGCTTTTTCAGCAGTTTTCTGTTTGCTTCCTTTTAAACTGTGCTGCAGCACTAGACAGCTACTCAGGCTAAGAAATGAAAGCGTATTTCTTACCCAACTGAAACCTCTGAAAGAATTAAGGTAGGCAGATGAGAACAGCTTGAGAAAGAAATTAGCTAGGGCAAGATTAATGTCCTTGCTCTTGTGGAAAGTTTGATGGCAGCTTGAATAACAAGCCATCAGAATCTCAGTTTCAGGGATCATCCAAGAAGTCCTTCCTTATGCCCCCCAGCGGGTCACAACCCTGCCTGCAGAGGGGAGTTCAATGGTATGGGATTTTCTTCCTGGCTGCTCCTGGCACTCGATCCTTGAAGTTTGACCCCTTTCCAGACAAATAAAGTAAGGACCTGAAAAGGACAATTAATTTCTAGTTTATATGTGTTGGCACAATGGTGGGTGCAGCCTGCTTCAACCATACCCTGCTCTGTTCACTTCATGGTCACTTTCATGGCTGCAGCACCTAAACTCCTGAGATCTCCCTCCAAATTTTCCGAAATCCCACAAGGCCTATGTCTCCGGCCAAAAGCCATAGGTTAGGCCAGGGTCACTAGTGCTGCGGGGGATACAGAGCACAGAGCGCCCCTTATTGAGTGAGGAGCATCTTTTCCAGCAGCATCTTGGGGTTTGCCTAGAGAACTCCCACCCAACTGCTAGACATCAGAACATCAGCCACATCCCTAGTCCAAGAGAAAACTAATTGAAAGGAAATGTAAGTCAGGGTATGTCTACACTACAGCGCTAATTCGAACTTAGTTCGAACTAAGCTAATTCGAACTAGCGCATCTAGAACTAAAAACTAGTTCGAATTAGCATTTTGCTAATTCGAACTAGCATGTCCACATTAAGTGGACCCTGAACCGAGGTTAAGGATGGCCGGAAGCAGTGCCGGCAGGGCATCAGAGCCTGGGCTGGCCCACAACCCAACTTTGAAAACCACCGAACTAGAAAATATGTAATTAAGAAGTGCAGTCTGAGGTCTGACATTTCTTTAGGAGTAAAGGTTTTAAAGAAGTTAAAAGCAGTGTTCAGGAACAGGAGGAAAACATAGTTAATGATCACATGACAAAGTTGTGGGGAAAAAAAACTGTTCTTTTGAAACAGGTTTGGTTTCATCTCTAACGTATCCTTCAATAAAAATGTTTAGGCCAAAGTTGGCTGAAAACAGGCATCAATTAATAGTGGAAAAGCACAGGTACAATATTGGAAAAGCAGTGTTAAATTACACTCGTATTTTGGCTGGTAGTAGGCCCCACATTTGCATCTACCTATAGAGATTATCAGTACTCTTGAGTAAATTAAGCAGGGGAAAGGGTGTAGCAACTGTACGTGGAAAAGAGTAGTCTTCGTTGGAACATGTAGCATTGTGAGCTCTAAACTCTATTCCTAGTTTAGCATGCAGAGAACACAAATGGAAGGCCTGCAAAATTACAGCTTTAGAAGGAACCAGGATGAAAGCACAACCACAGACTGCTCAGAGCACAGCCATCAAATGTGCTGGTGCTCAGTCTTACAGTTTTAAAGTAGGGAAGGCCTTAAACTTGTGCAAACTGGTTTTCAGACAGTTTGGGGTTTCCAAAAGTTAAACCCTCATGACTAGATTAAAGTTTCCTATCATATTCCAGCCATGAATGAGTATATTCAAGTTTGTCATAGATGAGGAATACTTCTTGAGTTGTTGTCTAAACATTTTTTAAAACGCCTCAAATGTTTTTTTTAATGTCATTACCAAAAATAGTCTGTCATTAGTGTATATTTTATATGTTGAAGTTTCTTATTACTCATCTCATATGCTTTAAGTTACATCCTTTGTAGACACAGCTGAGATTTTATTTAATTCAATATTAGAGCCTTTCTGCTGCTTTTATTATATGGGTCTATTTTAAGAAAGTTGTGATACTCTACGTGTTGACGATAACTTTTAGTCATTCATTATAAAGCTATAGTCTTGCCAAATTTCTCAAATTATTTCAAGAGTTGACTTTTTAAACATTAATAAAAGACACGAATGATTGGCAGCAGTGGAAGTCAAAGCCTTCCATGTGCTCATGAATTTGAGGTAAATGATAGCTTATTCTCCAAACCCATTCACCCCTTTATGTCTTTGCTAGGATTTGGGGGGTGCCCTGGCCAGGCTGGTCCCGGGAAGAGGGGG